TGACTTGTAATTTCATTTTAAATGAGTAAAATAACATTTTGGTGGCAGTTCTATATATGTGAATTATCTACTTCATTAAAATGAAAAGTGCAACCAAGTATTGATTTTCAGAGCAAACCAGACATCCTCATAAAATCAAAGCTTCTGAGACACATCACAGAGAAAAGTCACTTTGACTTATACATTTTAAGGTTATAGTTATGAAAATCAAAGTCCTTGACTGATTGATTGATTGATTGATTGATTGATTATATACCATCAAATTGCTATCAACTCTTAGCAATATAGATAGACCTCCAGAAGAAAGAGTATTAGTAGTCTATTCAAAAATCTGGGCTTAATTACATACAATTTTCCATCATCAGGAAAATATAGAAATATAAGTACTCTTGACTTTTCTTTATTTCACTGGCCATGATCTTCAGGGACTGTAGCATCCCAGATACACATGGCTTTCTCTTGCCTGTGTAAATTCAAGTTTTTCTTCTCCTTGTGCATTCCTGGAGTGCCTGTCACTGGCTTTACAGCTATAACATTCAAAACTGTTACTTTTTTCTTCTCTTCCCATACATTCCTTCCAGTATAGAGAGGCTGCAGGTTTGCAGCCAAAAGTATGTACACTGATTAATATATTTGTAAAATTAGGTAGATTCTGTTAAATTTGCCACTGATTCTTCCAAATCTCTAGGCCTTTTTAGAAACTGCAAAGCATGCTTGGAAATCACATTATTGCCATTAACTGATATGTTTTTAATAGGGCATGTGTACATTTTGATTACACCATCATTTTTACATTTGGTAAGCCATATAATATTTGAAATGGGAAAGAGGTAAAGAAAAGCATGCTACAGGCATTATAGTGGGTTGCATCTATCAGTTACAAATATTTGTTGTATTTGATCTCCCTTATGCAGGATCTCCTGCAATGTATCAAGTAGCTTGATTACTTCTTTCTCTGTACTGTATGCTAACCATTTCTTTCTTTCTTTTTTTCTTTCATTCCTTTCATCCCTTGCCGCAGGCTTTTTAGTGCAATTTTAGAACAAGCAACCAAAGCAGATGGGGTAAATTCACTAGGAGGTAAAGGGGCTGGATTTGACGTTAAAGCACTTCGGGCTTTCCGAGTACTACGCCCTTTACGGCTGGTATCTGGAGTTCCTAGTAAGTAACCAAGTCATTTTTTTATTGCTTTTAGGAGCAAAAGCTGATACTGTGAAAAGATGCAGAAAGAAATAATTCAGAGAACTATTCCATCCATAATGTGAAAATTAATTTCAGGGTGGAATACAAAACGGGGCTAAGCAGATGTTGCTTATAGCTGAGGTTATAATTACCATCAAATAATTAAAAAGAGTAAGGTTGAATGTCAGGTAAGGGAAACCGTTTTTTAAAGAGTGGGGCTGCTCTGTGGGTCATGTGAGATTATTTCTAAATGATATGAAATAATGTATCAGTTTAAAGCAACATGAAATGAATACATAATCATTATAACGAATCTACCATAAATTAAATCAGTCCAACGAGTGAGATGCTGGCTCTGAAGCTGATGTTTATTAATAGTCTCACAAATGGCTGGCTTGATGAAGAAGTCTCCCCTGTTCTTTAATGCATTGCACTCTTCTTTCTCAAAAGTCTGGACATTCGATCAATCATTTTTGATACAGTGGGGTAATAGGAGCATTATTTCCTGTCTGGAATTTTATCTTATTTTTATTTATTCCATACCCACTCAAATGATTTCAGATTTTTATATTTATTAGTTAGCTGAAAAATTAATTATTTGTTATACTGCATTGCTAACCTCTCACATCTGGTTCTGAGAAAATTTATGTAATGATGAATTGGAATTGCCCATAATATAGTGGGGAAATAATGATATGGCATTCTGGATACATACAATTATTTATACCTGGTAATGGAAAATTGCCATAGATTGCATGGCATAAGGAATATAGCATGGTGTAGAGTGCTGTTCCTCAACCTTGGCAACTTTAAGATGGGTGGACTTCAACTCCCAGAATTCCCCAGCCAGCATGAGAAATGCTGGTGTAGAGAATGTTATATGGAATGAAGTCTTGAGTCTTAGATACAAGTAGACAAAATAGTTATTCATATATTAGAAGAGAGACTTGGCTCAGTTAAGGCATGGGGAAGCAAAGGAAAGAACAAATCCATCAACTGATAAATAAAGTTTTTATTACCAGAGAATCCTTTTAGAGTAGATGTGGCAACCCATGAGGTTTTCAGCTTAACAAAAAACTTGTAGCGCAGCAGGATGGCATATATGAGGTTCCTTTCTCCTTAACCATGTAATATTGGGAATTATTTCAGAAAGAAGCCCCAGTAACGCAAACATATTGGCTGGGTGCATCATCCATTATAATACTGCTGTTCAGCTCTCATTCATTTCAGTGGTTCTTGTATCGAAGGGCTTCCAGGGGATTGTGGGTCACCATGACTTTGGGCTGTCTGACGCTGACTGTGTTGCTGTCGGTGTGTGCTGACAGCTACTACTGAGGTGGCTGATACATGGCCCTGTGATAAGATTTCCTTTGGGTTCTGGTTGTGCAGAAATGAACGAGGGGTATTGTTGCCACAAGGGACCGATAAGGTGTGCTGCCCACTTGCCTTTATTCAACCGAGGTGGATGGGCAGTAGAGAAAGGACTTCTCTGTATTGTGACCTCTGAACTTTGTGATGCTTTCCTAAAAGAGCTTTAGTTATCCTCCTTCTGGTTTCCATTTTGGTCTTTAGGAAAGACTTAGCTCTTTCAATCAGTGTTGACTCTGCATAATGTAAAGTAGAGTCATTGACTGAGACTGAGATCAAGATAGAATCCAAACATTTCTCCAGGATTTCTGAGTGGGAGTGGGGCTTTCCACTCAAGATGGCTATGAGAGAGCCAGCTTCTTGATTGTACAAGGCACATCTTGCCTAGTTGTTAAAATATCATTATATCTCACTTGTCAAAGCAAAGTGGAAGAATCCAGGCATAAATCACCCACCATTAAGCTACCAATGCAAATAACATCCTCCAAAGTGTTGGAATGAGATAAAAGAAGGCAGCTGCTTAAGCAGCCATTAGACCAGAAGTCTAGAAAATTTTATTTATTTAATTTATTTATTACACGCGCATACGCACACACACATACACATGCACGCACACATTACTACATTTTTTGTCACTGCAAGACTTAAATTGGTATTCTTAGAAGTTGATTTAACAATTGGTGGGAGAAAACAACTGATTTTAAAAGAGGGTACAGGAAAATCAGTTCATTTAATAGGTAAATTAAAGGGGAATCTGCTGATTTTTAAAAATGGATGGGGAAGGGAAGATAACTGCTGTTAAAGGAAGCTTGGAGACAAATCCTTTTGTTTTAAAAGAGGATTTCAGGGGGGAAATATTTTATTTAAACTGAGAGCCATTGTGATATAGGGGTTAAGATTAAAGTTAAGGATGGCACTGGGGAGACCCAGGTTCAAGTCAACCTACAATTGTGGAAAGTCACTGGTGACTTTGGGTCTGAAACCCACTCTCTCAGCCGAGCCTACCTTACAGGGCTGTTGTGAGGAAAAATTAGAGGACAGAATTCTGTGTATGCTATCTTGAACTGCTGAAGGAAAAGCAGGATATAATTCTAATAAATAAATAAATATGGTTTAGAAGTGGAAAATCAATTGATTTAAAAGGAAGGTTGGAGAAAATCAGTTTATTTTACAGAAAGATTTGTGGAAATCATTATCTTAGAATACATTTGATTTCTAAAATACATGGAAAAAAGTACATGAGCTATTTCATGCCTTGTCTGTTTTCTTCATATGGCTTCTGTCACATTCTCATGTATTTTTCAATCTGAAAAAGAAAGTGGTTGTTCAAGATGCTGAAGAAAGCAGATTATCTGGATGCCTTTCAGTCAGGATTCAGGCCTAGTCATGGGACCAAAGCAGCACTGATTGCCCTTGTGGATGACCTCTGGTGGGAGTAGGATGAGGTGGGGCGTCCATCCCAGTTCTTCTTGATCTCTCAGATGGATCTTCTTTGATCCATCATAGTATCCTTCTGGATTGGCTTCAGGGGTTAGGAAGGGGAACACTGTGCTAATCTTCCTTCCTTAGGTGTTGATGTGGGGAGAGAGATCGAGCCCACAGACCCTGCTTTGTGGCATGCTACAGGGTTCAACATCCTGTTTCACATCTACATGAGGCTGCTAAATGAGCATGACAGTATACTGATGATACCCAGCTTCATATCTCCATCTATGGCCACCCAAAGGATGCCGTGGAGATTCTGTCTTGATGTCTGAAGGCTGTGGGGGCTTAGATGAAGAAGAACAGGTTTCAGCTCAGCTCTAGCAAAACTGAGTGCCTCTGACTGCTAGGGTCTCCAAGTTCTGGAGATTTTCCATATTTGGTTCTGGATGGGGCTGCACTGCCCCAGAGAAGACCAGTGTGCAATTTTGGAGCTCTCCTGGACTCATGACTCCTGTTAAAGGAACAGGTGGAACTGTGGCTGGGAGGGTTTTCACACAACTTCATATTGTGCATCACCTGTACCCTTTTCTGGGCTGAGAGGTTCTGCTCACAGTTACTCATGCCTTAGTCACCTCCCAAATTGACTACTATAATGCACTTTACATGGGGCTGCCCTTGAAGAGTATCCAGAAGTTGCAGCTTGTTCATAATGCAGCAGCATGGGCAGTTATGTGCACTCCTCAACCAGCACATATTACACCTCTGCTCCACAAGCTGCATTGGTTGCCAGTGTGCTTTGGGGTTCAATTCAAGCTGGCAGTTACCTATACAGGTGGTCCTCATTTAACAACCACTTGTTCAGCAACCGTTCAAACTTACAACGCTGCTGAAGGAATAGTAGTTATGACCAGTCCTCATACTTATAGCCATCACAGTGTCTCTGCAGTCACGTGATCATGATTTGCAATCCTCTCTGCTGGCTTTCAACAAGGAAAGTCAATGGGGAAGCTAGCAGGAAATCACAAGTCACAGTCCATGAGGTCCTTGCTTATCAACTTGCATGGTCCTCATTTAATGACAGCAACCAGGACTGCCAGAACTGCTGTTGCGAAGCAGCATGGTCACATGGTTTTTCAAGTTATGACTGTGTCGCTTAACACAGAGTTTCTGGTCCTAATTAGCATTGTTAAGCAAGGAGTACCTGTAAAGCCCTTTGTGGCATGGGGCCAGGTTGTCTGAGGAATGACCTCTCCCTGACGGTATACACCTGTCCCATCAGATCCAGCAAGAGAGACATGCTACAGGTACCTTCTGTTAAAGAGCACCATCTTGCAGGGACTTAGGAAGAGAGTATTTTCTGTCATGGTACCCACCCTCTAGAACATCATTCTCCCAGAGATTAGATTAGCCCCAACCCTGATAAACTGAAGACTTGGTTCTGTCACTGGGCATGAGAGTCAGGGCGCGTGTCAGAGCCCAATTGTTGTGTTGATGGTTGTGGCTGTGGTGGGTTTTTTTACCCTGGTTGCTGATTTATATTTATTGTGTTATGGTTGTGAAATTTATATTTATTGTGTTATGGTTGTGGTTTTTAATGGTTGTTAGCCATCCAGAATCATTATGTTGAGATGGATGGCCATATAAATTGAAATTTATTTATTTATTATTTTAAATTAAATTTTAATTTTAAATAAATTAATTAGTAGGGCTGCTAGGCAACTCTGGACTTGTTTGTTTTCCAAGACCTGTTACAGTGAAGAGGGAATAGGAAAGAAAACATTAAATATGGATTTCTTTTTTTAAATGACAAAGCCAGTGACATATAGAGATTAGAAAGTTGAAGGGACTTTGATTGAAACTCCAGGTAAGTCATAAAGTTCTGTGGGTGACAGTCAGCTATGCACTATTTTTCATCCAAACCTAATACATGAGGCTAATGTGAGGATAATATTGGAAGAAATTAGCTTCTTGGGGGAAAAAGAATATCATAAATAATAAAATTAAAATGAGTGCTAGCATTTAATTATTACATGTAAGTTATTTTATACTTCATATATTAAGCGATTTGTCATATGGAAATACATATGAATGAATGAATGAATGAATGAATGAATGAATGAATGAATGAATGAATGAATGAATGAATGAATGAATGAATGAATGAATGAATGAATGAATGAATGAAT